TTGAGCTCGTAAGCTTAGATCGGCTGACGAACCTTGTGTTTGGTTTTCTGAGTATCGGAATAAGGTATGAGATCGTCGCTTTCAAAGTCGGAACCTGTGACTGAAAACGAGATCGGGTTAGAGATCTAAACTGACTGAATAACTGAATGACGAGGTCNGTGGATCGGAGGTCNGAACNTGATGATAAGNGCACTTGAGGTCNGATCGCTGGTGTGATAAGTACGAACTCTGCGCAGCCTTTTTACGAGCTGTTCTTGTCCTTTCTGATCAATCGGGCTCGATCAGGAGATTCTTTCCCTTTTGGTGTGAGAGAATGATTGCTTTTCGCTCTCAAATTCCCTTGTACTTGCCCAAAAGTGGAAAAAAAGTAATCCCCGTACTCATGGGATGGGGACCCCTATTTATACTAAAAGTGGAGAGAATAAGGTATTAGGGCTTCCTTGGGACCAGTGCTGATGTCATTCAATGCAAGAGGCGGCTGGGCTTATTTTGGGCTTGAATCATCAGTTGCTTGGGCGAGCTCGTCAGACTCCCTCCTTCTGGGCCGAGCTCGTCGTGCTCTCCTCTTCTGGGCCGAGTGTTATTGGGTCATTCTGTTCGCTGGGCCTATTTCGGAAATGGGTTTCAAAAATGGCAATATTTGAAGCCCATGCCCAACAAGCTGGATGATCAGATGTGTAGAATGTACAGAAAAAACGTAGTGCATTCGGAGCAGACCTAGTAGACTTAGATACACTACTTTTTTTTTCTTCATTTCTGCGCAGACATCATTCAAAGCCAATATAGGTTGAGTTGGTTAGTGATTGTCGACATCATTTAAAGCCATTATATGTAACAAGTAAATACTACTTATTCAAATTTCTTTTTATTCTTCTCAAATTCAGAAGATAATTGTCGAACCCAAAACTTTTCATAACACACCGTCCATGACTCTTCATTGTTTAACTTGTTATAACCCAAAATCATCTATATAGAAACAACAATTCTCCAAAGTGAGAAAGACTACGAGTGGGCAATAAAATATCATCCATTATGAAACAGTGAAAATTCTACCGTAATTTGAAATTCTTAACAACTCTCGTTACGACGTAACCAACCTAGTGGTAAAAAGGCTTGGAAAAAGGAGGTAAACCCTTCTAATCTGAATTCGATTTCCTTTGAGAATACTTTCACCTTCATTTGGCCAGTCGAACTAGTGCTATGCTTTAGGCCCATTAGAAAACCCGGTGAGTGGGCTACTCGACGGCTACACTCATCCTGGGAGATTAGTCGGGTGGGAAAAACCCGGACAACCCCGGTTATCAAAAAAAAAAAGGATTAGTCGGGTGTTAAAAATCCGGACGTACACCCTCGGTTATCAAAAAAAAAAAACTATCGTTACGAGTATAAAAGTAAGATGGAGAAATAAATAACTAAAAATCGATGTTTTAAACATATTTATTAAATATTTATTTTTATTAGAAATCGCTATATTCTTTTAAAGAGAGAACACTCCACAAATATATATTAATTAGATAATTCATCTACGTACACGCGGGTAGTTTGTTTATAATATTACTTTTAATTTTACATTTTGAAAATATGAAAATATGTATTTGTTTTTATTTTTATTATAAACAATGATATTTTTGTTGTTAGTTTTTTGTTTAATAATATTTTTTTTGTTATTAAAAATTTCGGAAGTTTAGTTTTACTATTTCATTATTACATAATTTTATTATTATATATACGTAAACGTGTCAGACTATATGTATAATAATCTAATACATTAGAATGCACAATCTATTATAAAAAGTTGAGGTTCCTCTCATAAAATATTGAACCCTCTATTTGATCATTTTGAAAAGAAAAAAAATTCATATTAAATTTTGAATAAAAATTGAATTTAACATCGAAATATTAAAAGATTAATATGAGCAACCACTTATAAACAAAAGAATAATTAATAAACTTTTCATACAACTTAAACCAAATGATCTACCATTTCCTGTTCTTTTGTTTCCTCTACCATATTCAACATAAACCAAATACTCTACAACATAAACTTTGTTCGAAATTAATTTTTGTTTAAGAATATGTATATTTTTTTATAAATTGGGAATTTTCTCATAAAACATAATAAAATCTCTTTAAGAAAATGTTAGATCTTTATTATAAATTTTAGTAAAATTATATTTATATAAAAGTTTTCTACGACTTTATTGTGAAAAATAAACATTTTTTGAATGAAAAACTGAAATATTATAAATTATTTATTAAAATTTATTTTGATTATTTATGGAAAGAATTATAAATTTAGTCATAGAAATTTTTGGTAAAAGATATTGTTTTGATTCATATTTGCCATGTCATATTTTTTCAAGTCATGTGACAATAAAATTGATGAGAATGATTCTAATGATGACACATAAGCAAATTTGAGAAAATCATTTCTCAAACTCTTGATCAAACACTTGGTCAAAAGGGCTTCCAATAAAAAAAATTGATAACAAATAATGATGATGTGACTTATGCAATTGACATAATTGAAGAAAATTGATAAGTTTTATTTAACTAAATCTATGGTGACTTCAAAATTAAGCATATGTGTGAAAAAAATCAAACAGACAAAAGTCGTTCTCTTTTTTGTCTCAGTTGAGTTAGAGAATAAAAGGAACCTTTGATATCAACAACATAAAGTTGTAATTTGAGAAAAAAAAAAATAGTGATCACAACTAAGGCGATCAAATGACTAAGATATCTAAGACTTATAAACTTCACAAACTTTCTAAAATCGTAATGACAATACATATTCCACTGAAAACACATAATAAATTGCGATAAAAAGAATGCTAAGATGTTGTTTCGGCACTTGTTGCAACAACTTAAGCCATAATTACGGCAGTGCATAACGCTCGAGAAAAAGGAGTGGATTCCTTAAACGTATGCTCGGACTCACATGTTTTAATTAACCTACTCATCTCAAAAGATTCACATACGAAGATTTACAACTTTTTTTCGAGATTAAATTTTTAGCTATGCATTTTCGTTTGCTAAAATTTTTATTTGCTCCACGAGAGGCCAATATGTTGGCTGATTCGTAAGCTAAAAAATCTTTTGATACTCTTGTTATGTTGACGGCTTCGATTTAAGTAATAATATTTATCGTTTTGACCAAAAAGAAGAAGAAGAGAATGCTAAGATTTACATTCACTAAGTCATTTCTTCAGTGCTTCATACTCAAAGATATTTAGATGCATTTGTTTATTATCTTTCGCCAGTTCTCTTTTTAGCATACATTATCTATAATCGCCCCGATCTTCTATCATTGTTGTTCTTTGCCATCCATAAACATAACTAATATTTACGTAAAAATCCATACAATCTTCCTCACCATACATGTGACAGTCATAAAACCGTCCTCCTATATTTGAATAGAGCTAAGCTATTTTTACAATAACATGTGAATTACAAAGGAATATTGCCTATGTATTTGTTATTACTCATCCTCCAATCCCAAAAATTGGTAGCGCATGATATTTTTCATGCCGCAAATGTTCGTCATATTTTAATACTTGAATGGACAAATTCCGCGAATTTCATATAATAAAATAATTAAAAAATTGTTTCAAAAGTAAATTTGAGTAGCTAAAAAGAGATGATTTACCA